ATTTCCTGGGGTCTCTGTACAGTGCTCAGCTCTCCGCTTTCTGTTCCCGAACTTGTTTTCTGGGAGCAGACATTCCTTTGTACAAGGCCCTTTCAGTCTGTATAAGTTAGATAGATTTTCACTGTAAATAAGTGAAAATCGAGAACAACAAAGGGGATGTTCTGACTCACATGTTATAGACAGCTTAGTGAATTTAGCTTCGGATATGGCAGTTTTACTTAGTGGGAAAGACTCTCCCTCCTCCCTGTTTCCCTCCACCCCTTTATCTCCATCTCTGTCTTTCTCCTCTTTGTCTCTGTGGGCCCCATGACCAAGCATGGTGCAGTCCTGTGGTTTCAGGAGCTTCGGAAGCTCCAGAGTTACCTGCTTTATGTTAACTTCTAGCTGTAAAATGGGTCCTCGCTCAGGCTTCAGAAACTGAGTCTTGGGTTTGGGGCTATATTTATATCATCCTTTGATTGTTAGATGAAATAGTCATAGGCTTGAGCCAATCAGGATCTATTTATAGAGTTTGAGGTATCCTCAAACCTACTCACAACATATTTCATGCAAATGCTGGCAAAGGACCCCCAATGTGACAGGCAGAAGAGGTGTTGAGAAGGCACTTGGAGCAGACATTCTGCCACACTTAAAGACTTCTGATTCAGTGTACACAAGTTAGACAGCTGAAGTAGAGCAGGACTTGACTTGTGTGTGCTTTTCCTATGCTACTGTCCAGGCTTAATTAGTGAAGATTTCCCTACCCAATGCCCAAGAATATGCAAAATTTCAACAATAAGGCAGAATTACATTGCAATGTACTTTTGATTATTTTTAATTTGCAAACTATACGTGTTATTCTTATTTTCTGAAGAAAAAGAACCTTCTATGCCATTTCTTTTTCATGTCCCATCTTTATACATGTATGCCATCAAGAGTAACTACTGCATTTTATAAGTGTGTATCACTAACTTAAAAGTTAATTTTCTTCGATGAACCCAGTGTGAAACACTAGACTAAGATGTCATTATGCCCTGTCTAGTATTAGTTTACATTTAACCACACACTCAAGGTGCTCATGTAATATCTGTGTAATATAATTACAATTGTGGGGTTTAAATTTTATTTTTATTTCATGTGTATGCATGTCTTTCTTTTACAGCTCTGTTAGTTAGCCTCTCAATTCTTCTGATTAGTGTGATGTCTGTATCTTTTTAATTTTTTATTGAATTTTTGTGTATTTCATATACAACATCTTAATCATCTTTATACCCCCTTCCCCATCCACACCCTCCCATATCCTCCCCCACTTCCCGTTGAATTTTATGCATTCTGTCATTTATGTTAATGTCTTTCAAGTCAAGATAGTATACCCAGACATCCCTCAAGGCAAGTTCATCCACTGGAGTCTAGTCAGTGTTTGCCTGAATGTATGTATGTGCACTATGTGTGTGCCTGGTCCTAGTACCCACAAAGGCCAGCAGAAGGTGTCATGTCCATTGGAACTGGAGTTATAGGCAGTTTTGAGGTGCCATGTGGATGCTGGGAATTGAACTCAGATCCTGTTCAAGAGCAGGAAGTGTTCTTAATGGCTGAACCACCTCTCTAGTCCCTGAATCATCTGATTTCTAAAAAATTAAAAGTTTCAAAATAATACGGCATTTTCAATGTTTAAGTACATCTGACTTTAAAAAATGCAATGATTTATCCTCAGCTATATACATTCATTCACATTTATATTATACATGTCTTTTTCAGTAGTCTATGAAATAATACATTTCCGTATGGCTTTTCACATCACCTAAGTATTGTTGATGTCCCCTCTCTCTCCCTATGGATAGCCCTTCCTCCTCCTCCAGTTGAAGTACCTCCCCCCATTCTCCCCACTTGTCCTTTGATAATGCCTGTGTCTCACCATCTCTCTCAAGCTCTTCCTTCCCCTCTCCCCTGCATGGTTCCTTTCTATTTTTCTGGCTTCTGCAGTTACATCAGGATATATACCCACATCTAAGGATCACAATGCCAGGCAATAGAAACCTCCCTCTGAGTTGTTGATCAGAATAGTTCAACAAACTCCCCCAAAGATAGAGGTTATTGCCACAGCCCTGGGTTACCTCATAGAACTTGAAGGTAAGACCTTCAGCATACTTTGTATACACAGTTTGGTGCAACTGAACTAGAACTAACCTGGAAGCCTCCTCCCTAAAGACTAGCTCTCATAGTTCAGAGGATACTGTGAAAGTTGCCAAGGAAGAAAACAAGTCATGTAAAGCCTTCAAAGCACCTGTAACCAGGCCAGCAAATTATCTCTCTTGGTGCAATAGTGGCATTTTTATTTTGGGGTGATGAACAGTTGTATAATTGGACTCAGTAGAAGGGCCTTCATGCCTGGTATTATAAAAACAGCCAAGTACACATGGGTGGGGAGGTCATAGACCCAAAGAACCTACTTCTGTCACTTTCCTTGACCAATGCAATTTCTTTCTTTCTTTCTATCTTTCTTTTCTTTCTTTTTTGAGATGGGGTCTCACTGCAGTCCCAATGGGCCTGGAAATCATAATGGTATTATGTAAACAAGGCTGGCCCACGGAGCTCCACCTGCCTCTGCCTTCTGAGTGCTGGACTTTAAAGACATACTCCACACCTGGCTCTCTCATTGTATTCTAAATATATATTGCTATATTTACAGACAAGTGTACCTCTCACAACTTATCAAAGAAGTTTCTCTTTGTAACAAAACGGAGGCTATTACACAGTTCCAAAACTGGCCAAACACAGAGAATAAGTGACTGTGAGGTGCCCAGCCCGAAGAAACCTCCCCGCCTAAGTCTCAGGGAACATCATAGAAGAGGGGAAGGATTGCAAGAGCCAGAGGGACAAGACACCTGCTGCTGGATAATGCATTCTGGACACGAGGGGGAAGCTGCACCATGAACACTTCACAGTATAGAAGCCTAACAAGATCTGCATAATGACAAAACCAGTTGACATGCCAAGGTGGATGGGGGACATTTCATGGGGCCCCACCTCAAGATGAAGAGCTACAGACAATCACGGCATGCTGAGGGAAGGAGAATCAGTTTTGTCCACAGACTAGATTCCTGAGAGGTTATCTACTCCCAAGTGGGTAGGCCTAAGCAAGGCACCTATGAGCACCACTAGATGGACTTGTTGCATTATATATATACATGTATATGTGTAAATGTATAAATGTGTAGTGTAAATATACAATAATAATCAAAAAAGATGAAGAAATCGAGGGGTAATGGGAGGACTGGGGGGAGACGGAGGGGGACTGAGGGGGTGGAACAATGCAAATAAATGTTCATGTATGAAACTCTCAAAATACTTAAGAAATTATAGTTTAAAAAGCAACAATTAATATATCATGAGGAAAACCTTGATACGTCACAAATCCTTAGCAGGTCTTTCTTGCTCCTTGTGCCACGCTGACGTTCTAGAGTCTCAGCCCCAATCTCATCTTTCCTTACAGGATTTCTGTATGGTGTCATTGATGTTGGTACTACACATAGAGAAGTATCCTTTACACTTTGTTAAGACATCTGAAAGCTGAGGAGGGACCCGGTTCTGGTCTTTGAAAGGGAAGAGGCACAGTAGTACAGCTATCATTTCACAATGAACAAAACTGTGCAGGTCATCACAGGTCACTTAGTAGAGAGGTGACATGGATGGTCACAGTGCACTGAGATCAGGACAGTGGCTGGAAGGCCTCAAAAGGCTCCACTATGCATTGAATTAAATGTAGGGCTGGAGAGTTGGGTCCGCAGGTGGAATGAGAGAACAGATTTCCAAGTGTTGTCATCTGACATCCACAGGTACAACTGGCACATGTGTGCATGTGCACCCATAGCCCCTCCCTCACACTCAGTAAATAGTATTTTTTAACTGAAAAAACAAAAAAGCCCAAAACCAAAACCACTCCATTCTTGGCCCAAACCCAGTCCTTAACAAGGCCAGAACTTTCTTTAGGAGTAAACTATTATTGTGGTGGTGTTTATGTATTTTAACAAACAAAACCCACAATCAGCTTCTATAGATCAGAACATGATGGTGAAAAAAAAAAAAAATCAAGTATCTCTTGGAGTGAGCCCTCATTCCTAGTGAAAACAGAGCCTTATTATTGTTTCCTGTTTTGATTTTTGTATCTCCTGCTTTTTTCATTTGATAATTAATGAGGATCTAATCTGGAGGATGTAGGGAAGCTTATGTCTCTAACATCCAGCAATCTTGACTGTATTAAGACTTTGAGAAAACCTTCTTCAAAACATTTTTTATGTGTTTGTTGTTGAGAGAAAGAGCAGATAAAACACTGCTACTCAGGCCTCCAGATCTGGACACATGTGAAACAGAGCCCTTAAGTGTTAGTTCACAGCAGCTAGAGGCACATTTGACAGTATGTAAAGAGAGTCTCTCCTCTGAACCTTAATGCTGGAGGCAGAGAAAGATGCGGCCCCTGGCTTTCATCCCAACACCCCAGCTTAACTGCCTTGGTTTCATCTTGCGCCAACAAGGCCTGATGCACTGCATTGCCGAACACGAAGCATCTCCTGGGCAGTGATGTGTGTAAACAGAGGGACTTTTTAGTCAATTGCAGGAATTACACTTTAATGCTTTACACTAAAAGACTTTATGCCCCAGATAGCTCTGCGATCCGTTGAATCCTGGCAGGCAGTGCAGCTGTCCAAGCTGAAACCAGAAAGCTATGTTAAGCAGATTTCTGTCCATGTGCAAATGCTTTATTTGTGACGCTTTCCTTTGCAACAATTCAAAGTGTTTTCTTTTTTCCTTTTGAAAACAAATCTCTCTGTTTGGTCAATCTTTGCATTTTTATTCAAAATTTGTTTTCAAAAGCATCCCTTTAGAACCACAGAATGGTAAACATTCCTCTCACTGAAAGTCAATAGTTTTGAAAACAATAATGCTAATTTAAGAGATTGTAAAATGTGATCAAAGTCCTTAAAGCATTCAGCAGATGAACACAAAGGGACGCTATGTCTTACCATCAGTAGGAAGTTCTAGCAGGCTGCAGCCATCACTCTTCACGCCTTGTGTTGGCAAAGAGATGAGCTTTGCAACAAGGGATGCTGCAATCGGCTGCACTAGCAGGGAAGTGAGGTTTGGCCGGCTTTGTCTGACGCCTCCGTCTGTAGTCAAAAGAGAAAAGAACAGACTCCTTAATAAACAGGCCTTGAAAACAGGAACAGACAAGCTCTTTGCAGTGAAGTGTACAAGTTTTGAATAGTAAGTTTGTATTTGTTCATTTGTTTACCCATCAATTATACTCTGTCTACTTGTTGAAAATAATGAGACTCTATAAAAATTTAGGTAAATAAAGTTGTGTACCATCATTAACTATGGCACGCTGTACATATGCAAGTACATCGTTTACTGTGGTACCTGTACATATGCATTTGCGGATAATGCCCCATAAAAACTCCCTAAGGTGGCAGATAACAACAGGGATGAAGAATCACAAATCCACAGGAACCAAGAGAACAAAGGGATGTGATTTCAGGAGTTGAAAGGCAGAGGACAGTCAGCTACCAGAGCAGACCCCAGAGAGCTGGAACAGAAGCTGTAGCGAGGACACTGAGAGGCCATGTGGTTTGTAGCACAGAACCCCGGAAGGCCCAGGAATCGTCAGCTTCTGCTGCCTAAGGTGCTGGAAAAGAGAGGGCCCAGGAGGAGCTATGCTGTGTGTGAACCCCTTAAACACCCAGTCAGTCTGGATACCTGTTCTTCCCTCAGGCCAGTAGGAAACACTGGAGTAGTTACTGAAGAAGGGCACTCCAGATAATGACCATAAACAGGATGAGTCCCTCGAGCCCGCTGCCTACTGCAGGTAATGCAAGTGAAGGTGCACGAGTAGCCGATATGGATAGACCAAGAGAGGCTATCTTTAAAAAGAACGAAAAGCAGGAGGCTTACTGATAAAAGAACTCACCAAAGACAAAAGTCAATTAATCTCACCCATAACCTAAACTGAACATCAACATAGTTTTGGTATCCTTAAGTAGGAGCCAGAGGTTTAAAGATTATACAAGAAAGAAATATAATAGTAAATATGATAGTATATTCACATAGTCATGATTAACATAAATGATGTTTGACATAACAGAAAAATTGTATGTTTCAGGAGAAAGGAGAAAAGGACAAAACTCTCGTGGTAAACATGAGCCATGAGTGGTAAATCGGGATGTCAGCATGTGAGGGCTGCTGGGGCATGGTCCGGCTGGGAACTGTTCACCTTCAAGCACAAGGAACCAAGCGTGTTCCCTAGAGCCCATGTAAAGAGAAAACAAAGGCCGGGTGTGCCGGCTTCCATTTATTATGCCATCTCTAGAAAGGCAGAGATAGGAGGATTCCTGGGCATCGCTGGAGAGCCAGGCTAACCTACTTGTAAATCTGAGGCAAGTGAGACTCCTCTCTCAAAAACATACATATATCATGATTGAGGAACAACACCTAAGGTTCTCAAACTGTGTTGATGATACATACATGCATATGCATACTCACCTACACATATACATGCATGCACATATATACACAAACACTAGTGCACACACACACACACTGAATAATAATAAAACTGAAGTATGATGAAGGAGCGCAAACATGTTATGGAGAGAAGAGAAGGAAAGTATAAAATATGCTGACAATGACTATGTTGAACGCAATTAATTGTTTGCATTTGGGAGACCAGGAGAGACGAAGGGGTCACAAGAAAAGGTGAGACAAGGAGACAGAACTAATTGGATAACTAATGAACTACATCCATTAATAGGGTTGATAGACTATAAGTCAAACACAGCTAGTAAGACAAAAGAATTACAATACTGCACAAAATGAAAAATACATCCATACACAGAGTATTAAAGGAGGGAGAAAATAAACCAAATTGTGCTTAAATAAAGAACAGCAAAATACTCAGTTGAACTATTTTTATTGACTCAGAGAAGGAAACACACAGTGGAGCGGCAGCCAACAACATTTTAGAATGCAGGGGTGTATTTTTCAGAAATTTTATTAGGGAAATAATTTCCGGAAGTTCGCTCCAAATTTAATTTGAATGGCCTGCAGGGGGTGCGGAGCACCGCGATTCTGGCAGCCAGGTTTCAGGAGGCAGATTAAATATGTCTCCAAACTGTTTCTTTAATTTATCATCTGGAGAACCACGAGACTGAAAAGTGATATTTAGCTCAAGGCCCTGGCTGCAGCGAAGCCACTGCTTGAAGGAAAACAGTCATAAAAATGGAGGCTGAAGATCAGTTTTGTTATATAAGCAGAGCGCTGGTCTCTTTTACTCTGATATGTGTCAGTGAGCTTTGGCCACACCGTGGCCTATTGAACCTCTGCCATTTTCACGTCCTACAGCCCTGATAGGCTGGATAATTTGTAGGGCCCAGAGGAAAGTGACAGTGAGTGGCTGCTTGTTAGAAAAGTGTAAAGAATTTCAACAGGGCAACAACAGTGTGCAAAAGATGTGTGAGTCCTTTCTGTGAGGAAGCCCTGACTGCAATGGTCACATGCCTCTGAGGCAGGACATGCAGGTCACTGTGATGACCTCAGAGCCATATAGCCTGATGGGACACACTGATGATGATCTGCAGGCCTCAGGATGTTGCTCCCAACCTAAATGGGTTAGCCCGGAACCTCCTTCATCCAGCCTTGGCCTTGAACCAACACAGTTCATGTGTCTAAGCACAGACAATGCCTGTGGTGCCCAGTGGGGGACACCTGTGACAGTCAGCCCACTCTGGGCCTATCGGTGTGTGTGTTTTCTTTGTCAGATGTTATTTGGGGATGCTTTATTGTACATTGAAATAGGAAACAAATTTTTCCTTTGTATATGTGTATCTGTGTGTAGGTGTGTGTGTATGCACATGCACATGTGTGCACATGTGGGTATGGATGTGGAGGCCAGAGAGCAACCTCCATTGCTATTTTTTTTTCCTTTCTTCTTCACTCTGTGATGGTCAGGCACCATCATTCTCCCAAGCAACTCTAACTTTTTCTTCTTTTTTTTTTTTTTTTTTTTTTTTTAATTAGAAGAAGCATTTCATTACAACAGCATTAACCTATTCAATAACATTTTTCTGAGCTAGGGTACATCTCTTTCAAAATTGGCTATACATTTTTAGGTTTACAGATGAATTATTACGCTTGTACAATCTTTTACTCATTATAAACTCTATTAGACATAAAATTAAATGAGGTTTTAACATTTAAAAAAGATTTCCACTTAGTTGTTAAAATACACAGTTTCACACAGAAAAAAATATTTTTAATGCAACTGACAATAAGATGTTTACACGTACATTTCTAATCTCTATATATCTGATTATTACTAGTCACAGTTGGT